TATTATATTAATTGCTATATAATACTGTATGTTATCTCTTAACTCTATGTTAATATAGTAATAATGTTAATATAATAATATAGTAGGTTAATATATAGCCAGAATAGTTGATCCAAACTGCCCCAAGGGCTATTCCATACCATGTGACGTCATGCTCAGTATAGAAACTGGGGGGGGGGGGGGCCACGGAGACGGGATGCCTCTCCGGGGAGCGCCGCGGTGGGTGGTGAGCAATTGCATTGTGCATCACTTGCTTTGATTATTATTATTATTATTTTATTGTTACTATTATCATTACTATTTTACTTTATTTCAATTATTAAACTGTTCTTAACCCAGGAGTGTTTCTCACTCTTACTCCTCCGATTCTCTCCCCCATCCCACCAGGCCAGGGGGAGTGAGCGAGCGGCTGCGTGGTGCTGAGCTGCTGGGGCTGAACCACGACAGATGGATGCACTTGACTCCTAGCTGTACTTTGATTCAGGCTGCCTAAGAAGCAACAGGCCTCATGTCCTTGTGGTGAACTTGTGAGCTGGAAAGCCCCTGGCTCACATACAAGGAAGTGAAGGTGCCTTGAAAAAATATTCCAAAAGGTGGTTTCAAAACCCCAAAATGCAAGGTAACCAAAGTACAGAACAGGATACCAGAGCTAAAACAAAGACTTCTATCTTGTCTATACTATTGACTAGCAGCCAACTACTTCACTCTATAAACGTTACCATCAGGGTGGGCCCAATTTGAGCTCTCCCTGAGCTGCAGCTGGACTGCGTGCCAGGTGACTCTCCCCTTGAGCGGGGCCTCCTCCCAAGGTTTGAGATTCCTTACCTGAAACTAAGAGATCCTTCCTTACCTAAGGCAGGGAGATCCCTTACCTGTGACAGTTTCTTGGTAAATGACGGATAGCACATTGAATTAATACTAATGAAACATTACTAATCCATGTAGCTACTCAATATTATTATAAACATTGTATGGATAATTCCCTTAGACATAAACCATTGTGCAAGTCTGAGACTAAGACTGGGCCCAGCCACACGTAGCCTCCAGAAGGAGTTTAGGAAGCAAGGGGTCCACTCTGAACACTGTGACTCAGTGGGAGGGTCCTCCTTCCTCTTTGTGTCTCATTCTAACTCAATCCTAACTCGATTTTCCTTTGTATGTTTCTTCCATGCAGTAATTAATAAGGTGAACCTTGCCATCAAACTCATTGAATCTTGTCAAAACACTGTTAAACTTTGTTAAATTCCATCAAACATATTGAACTTATTTTACCTCAATAAAACATATTGCTGCTTCTCTCTTTTGAGTGAGGTGCATTCCATTCATCTGCAACAGAGGTAAAATGGTCATATAGAGGATGAAGACGAATGAATGAAGTGACAAGTCTTCACAAAGGGATTTAAGGGATATAAAGGATTGAGAGTGACACTCTGCGGTGTCATGCTGTTCTGAGAAAGGCACCGACATGTGTAAATGGGAGTGCTGACTACAAGGTATGCAAACCAAGCCTGCAGAGCTGCTCAGCACTGGCAAAGCCTCAGCTGGCATGACAGGTGGAAAGAAATATGCCCAACAGTTAAGGAGAAACCAGAGAAGAATGACAGGAATGAGAAGAGGCTTAAAAATGTGTCTCGAGGGAAATGGGAAGAGGCCGAGGAAATGGAAAAGGGACATAACAGTATGGTAGATGCAAAGAATAAATGGTAGCATTGCGCACTGCAAAGAGACAAGAGGCTGTAGAATAAGTTCCAGGTAATGGTAGTGAGCTCAGGGTTTCCTTCTAGTGGCAACAAAGTGCAGTGCTGCAATACAGGAAGTTTGTCTCAACTGTGGAGGTTTCAGAGAAGACACTGGAAAAACATTGGTGAAACAAGGTTTCATGAAGATGGTTCTAACAAGTGAGGGAGGAGGACAGGTAGATTAAGTGGATTTCTGCAAGTTTTTTTAATATTCTTGTCTGGAAGAGAAAAGAGAGAGAAAAATGGAGAGTGTATCTTCATATTTCAAGTGTGATATGTTCATTGGGGTTGTCACTGGCTGCAGTAGAAGAGTCCAAGTGACTCTACACCCTCTGTAACAGGATGAATCACACCAGTCCTGCAATGCCACCAGGTTTACTGGTACCTCACGTGGGCAAGAGTCGTAAATTTAAATTCTTCTGCACAGCCAGCAGTGGGCTGGACTGCAGCATCACAGCATCGTGATGAGCTTTTGAATAGGAAGCAGGGAGGAACAGAGATGATTTACCCACATCCTTGTTTAAAGCACTTCCTCTGCACAGTACTATGGTTTTAGAGTCATAAGATGGGAAGAGGGTACCCTATGGCATTTCAAACATCCCTGCACATACCCCAAAAGTTGAACAGCTGGTGACACACATGAGACTTACCCAAGCACACAACACCAGCATCTTCTCCATGCCTGCAGTTATGGACTCCCCACAGAGTGGTCTCACATTTGGAGAGGGCAGTTTCAGTCCCTGTGCAGTTCACATCATCCAACCAGATAGGGCCAGATCCTTCTCCAAAATAAGCAGAGACCAGAGTGGATAGTGCTTTCCCACAGCCCAGCTGTCGGCAAACGACTTCAGCATCACTTATATCCCAGCTGTCATCACATACTGTTCCCCACTGCTGGCCATAAAAGACTTCAACTCTCCCACTGCAATGATTTGGTCCGTCCATCAACCACAGTGGAGCTATTCTTGTATATCTGAAGAAAAAAACAAGGTCAGGAATATACATTATGTTGCCATTTGCATGATTAAAAATAATATAGAACGTATGTGAGCTTAGTGACATCCAGGATGCATTTATCAAGTTGCATAATGTTGGGATATCTTTCCTAGTTCTTGTATTCAGAGATAAGTGGACAACAGACAGTGTACTGTATTCTGCAGAATATAAGTTAGAAATCCAAGCCAAGGAAAGCACACAGCTTCTATTTGCAGAAACAGCTACACACGCACCAAAAAACCCCAGGGTAATTTGTAACAGGTCTCCACTATGATGAAAGAGAGCTCACAGGCCAGATTCAGGACCCTTCAAGACAGATCTTGCTGCTGAGGTGGTACTTGAATACCCCTCTTGGAAACAGAAAATGTTCCCTGTCATACAGATGGACACAGAGAGGGGTTACCTGAGCACACCACACCAGCATCTTCTCCATGCTTGCAGTTATGGGACCCCCAAGACTGGGCCCTACACTCAGAGAGGGCAGCTTCATTCATTCCCTGAGCAATTCACATCATCCAGCCAGATGGGGTCAGGCCCTTGCCCAAAATGAGCTGAACTCAGGGCTGACAGTGCTGCCCCGCAGCCCAGCTGCCTGCACACAACACTGGCTTCAGCTGTATCCCAACCATCATCACACACAGTTCCCCACTGCTGCTCATGGAACACCTCAACTCTGCCGGTGCAACGATTTGGACCATTCACGAGCCGGATGGGAGCTGGTTCTGCAACACCTGGACCAAAACACAATTGCAAAGCGTTTGAGGAGCTTTGCATGCTTCAGAGCTCTGTGGAGAGGGCAAAACCCCTCCTTGCAGGGGTCTGGAAGCCAACAGGGCTTGGGTCCACGATGTGTAAAGTGGCACTAGATGCCTATGGCCTCACAGCTTGATCCCACATCCTTGGCTGGAGCTTTTGCAATAAATCAGTCACCTGCAGGGTGATTGTAGATGACCACCCAGCTTACTTCCCTAACAGCGGAGCACCAAAATGGGGAGGAGGGAACAGAGCACTGGTGGAAACTCTGCATTTGAGACTGCTGAGTCCCCACTTGTGAGACTCTACAAGCCTGGCCATCAGGACTGGCCAACAAAGTCATCAGTACCCCAGTCCCCACCAGAAGTCCAGGGCCACTGGCACCCTTCCTACAAATACAGGCCATCCCTCGTACCCCAGACTTCATGACATGCATTAGTGGTACCTGAGCACTCCACACCAGCATCCTCTCCGTGGTTACAGTTGTGGTCTCCCCAAGACCGTGCCCAGCAATCAGTGAGGATGGTTTCAGCCCCTGCACAGTTCACATCATCCAGTTCAGTTCCTCGTCCAAACTGAGCAGAGCCAGGGGCTGAGACCACTGTGCCACAGCCCAGCTGCCTGCACACCACTTGAGCATCTGTCAGTTCCCAGCTGTCATCACAGACGGTCCCCCACTGCTGCTCATGAAACCTCGACTCTCCCAGAGCATTGGCTTGAACCATTCACCAGCTGGACTGGAAGCAGCTCAGCAAATCCTATGTTGAGAAAGAATGAAGACCTCAGTTATCTGTTGTATTTTGGTCTGTGTTGATAGGATAGAGCATTGTGCTGCTCACTCCTGGATTGCATCGGTCTGGCATAGACAGACATTGCTCACTTTTTCATATCAGCTCAGCAGACCCTTGCAGCAATTTCAGTCCCTTAGTGGTGGTCTTCAGCTGACCTCTCTTGTTGACTAGCCCCTACTAAAATCAGCCAGCTCCGTTTGAACATTCGTCTCACCAGAAGATGACAGTTATGCCTGCAGCCTCTTATTGTGGTGGACCAGACTAGGGGCAGTAGCACTGGGCTGGCCAGCTGAGCTGGGAAGGGACAGGGACCTGTGGACTAACACTGGTCCAGAAGCACCACGTTGCCTTATGGTCTAGGCTGTGTTAAGGAGTCTTAGCATCTGGGATCAGAATTTTGGTAAAGCAGGAAGAGTTGGTTGAGGACTGCTAAGAAGTGTTGAGGTTTTCTAGTTCTGGTGTTAGTGAACATCAGGTATCTGGTTCTGGGGACTGTGAGACAGGCCAGATAAATCTCACTGGAGGTGCCTATTTCCTTCAGGGGTGTGAAGTCAACCCACACTTAGATTTAACATCTGCATTTTTCACATCTACAGTCTGAGATATATACCTCCTCCTCAGACTACGCAACTGCCGATGGGAACTGCTCAGGACTGGCTGGGCAGAGCAGTGGACTGGAAGATGTACAGGCATCCCTGACATGTGGCTTTGTGAATCTGTGTGAAGGAAGAGGAACAAGAGAAAGAAGAGAGAGACCCAGAGCTGGCAGCCATGGGTGGACTGGGCAGTAGCTGACTTAATCAGCAAGAAGGTCCTTCCTACTTCACATTCTACACTATATACTGTTGCACTATAAGAAGTGCAAAATTACTGTGTTGAAGAGTAGCTGAGCTGAGAAAACACTCCAAAAGGAGTGTTTCCTCTGTCTGCTATAGCAAACTGGCCTCCAGAAGCAATCCATGAAAAAGACTTAAGTGAGAAAAGAGAGGTCAGAATTGTCTATAGGTTTAAACCCATCTTTTTCCGAAGCACTTTTGAAGCACTCTGTGTCACTTTCTTTGGAAGACCTATTTGTGATGAAGGACCTGGGCCTCAGGACCTGTCTGAAAGGATCACCCCAAACAGCTTCTCCCATGACATGCCATGAGTGATGGGTACCTGTACAAACCACGCCAGCATCTTCTCTGTGCCCGCAGTTATGGCTTCCCCAAGGAGTGCTTCTGCATTGGGAGAGAGCAGCTTCTGTCCCTGTGCAGCTGACATCATCAAGCCAAATGGATCCAGATCTTTGCCCAAAGTAAGCCGCATGGGTAGCCGACAAGGCCTTCCCACAGCCCATCTGTGTGCACACCATTTCTGCCTCAGCCAAGTCCCAGTCATCATCACACACCGTTCCCCAGTGCTGGCCATAAAACACCTCGACTCTCCCAGAGCAATGGGTCAATCCACCCACTAATTGAAGCAGGGCAGGTTCTGCAAAGCCTACAGGGGAAAAAAAAGAAAAAAAAAATTCAAGAAAGTATCTGGTGCAGAGTCTGGTGTATCTGTCCTCTTCCTGGCAATGAACATTGCATCTCTTGCAGTTTTTGCCTGGGAAAACATTGCAATAAGAGGCAACACAAGCACTTCCTCCACCATCACAACAGTAGCTGCTCAACAATGGCTTTTACAGACTAAAATATACTTGGGATGGCAGACGGCAAGCCCCAGTCTTGTTTAAATATGGATGTCTAGTGCTTTTAAGATCCTCTAGCCTCTGCCTGCCATTGCAAGGGGTCTCAGGTCTGCTGTGTGTCTTGCTGCCAGCCCCTTATAGGTGTCCCAGGTCCCTTAACACCCACCAGAAGGTGCTAGATACCTAGAGGTGCCAGAATCACTCTCATACTGTCTATCTCTATGCGCTCTCAGTTCCATGCTAATGCTGTTTTTACCTACAAGTCAATGAACAAAATGTGGATTTCTCAATATATTAAGACCCTACAAACTTTGCAAAAGTCTGTATGTGGTTACAGAGGAAAGGCACTAATTAGCACCTTGTTACAGGAAAGACGGGTGGAAACCAACTCTTCTCCTTCCGGTGTGGTCCAAGCAATCAATATATTCATAACTGGCCCACCAGCAAATGCCTCATGGTAAACCAGCTGTGACATATGCTGCCTCTTGCTTGACCAGACAGCTGGTAAACTGGGAAGGAGTTGGTGGCTCTGGGAAGGAGAGGACCTTCTCTCATGAAAGGAGACTTGGAGGTGTACCCTTGGGGCTCCAGTTACATGGGAGGACCTGATACTAATAGACTGGGTGGGACAATGCAGGTGAAGGGAAGAACCTCACTTAATGCAAGAGTTTTGGGGGAACTTCAGAAGGAACTATGTCTACTGGCATGAGGGTGGGATGGCAGGGCTGCCAAAGCCACTGCTCCCTGCAATGAGAGAGGATGCTCTACCCAGGCATCTACTGGCCATGTGCTATAGCATGGGGAGCCCTGCAAATAATTCCTGCAGCACCTCTGTCTTTTACCAGTGGCTCATGTCGTGCTGCGTTTTAATTAAGGAGAAGAGGCAAGACCACTTTAGGGCTTAACAGTATGAATCACTTTTTATCTTACAGTTCTCTTGGTGGTTGAGGTCAGCACTGCTCCAAAGGGAACAGGGCCTCCTACAGCACCTCCAGCATCTCTCCACACCCCACAAAACCTACTTGTGTCATGTGGAGTGTGATTTACCTGAGCACACAATGCCAGCATCTTCTCCATGTGCACAGTTATGGCTTCCCCAAGGTTTTGCACTGCATTCAGAGAAGGTAGCTTCAGTTCCTTTGCAGGTCACATCATCAAGCCAAACGGGGTCAGGCCCTCGCCCAAAGTAAGCTGAGGAAGGAGCAGATAGAGCAGTTCTGCAGCCCAGCTGCCAACATACAACTTCAGCATCAATTATATCCCAGTTGTCATCACAGACAGTTCCCCATTGCTGGCTGTAAAGCACCTCCACTCTCCCAGCACAGTGACTCGAACCATTCACTAATTGCAGCTTAAATGTTTTTTTAATTTCTGCATTAAAAAAAAAAAGAAAAAAAACCAACCAAACAACAACAAAAACAGGATCAGGGATTGCATGTGGAAAGATTGCCTAGAGATCAAAGGCAAGGAAAGATCTCCACTGGCACTGCCCAGGACTTGACAAGCTGATGAGTATGAAGTTCTGTATCTTCCTTTGTGGTTTCAGAGCTCAGAATCTGAGAGACAAACAGCATAGATTGGGAATCCCTTATGAAATAGGACTGTGCAATTCCCCCTGTGATGTTACTCCAGGGGTGGGGACTGGCCACAGATCAAGACACCCATATATAGACTTGCTGGTGACTTCATGTGAGGTGGGTGTTGAAATTCTAGTTAGTCAATGGCATCTGTGGAGCTGCTCAGCTGGTGAAATACTGGCATTTGATTCTGTTGCCCAAGTAAGTATTCAGCAATTCAGCAGCATATGTGATGCCATAGGTATTCTCCCAGACTCCTTCTCTGTAAGGTCTCCCTTAGGGCCTGTATTGCATCTGCCAGGTTGTGTCAAATGCCCCAGGGCATCTCT